TATTATATATATATATATATATATATATATATATTTAATTCTATTTAGAAAAGCGCTGTCCAAAATGTATTATTTTGGGCGTAGGGGGGGGGGGGGGGGGGTTGGACACCACCACAGAATATTTTCTAATAAAAAATTGGAATCTCATACCCCACATACGCACAATCAGCGGGTTCGGCTAGTTTGCTCATTGACTGTACAGCGATGAACATCAAAAGTGAAGACCTATGTCGGAGTGAAGATCAGAAATAACGCATATTTACCGCGAGAGTAAATAAAAGTTCCTTTCGTTTTGCGAGGAGAGATCTCCATGATTTTATTGTCAAAGATTTTAGAGCAGAAAAATTGGCAATATATATATATATATATATACCGAAGGTATTGCAGGTAATTTTAAGAAAAATTAATATTACCCGTGGTTTATATGCTGGGTAGAAATTTTGGGATACTCGTATTCTCTAGACAATTGAAATGGAGGAAAATGGATGGTAGAGATGTTACACCTGTGAGGCCTGTCTTTCCGAATGTTGTCATGGCTGATTAATACTTTTCTCCAACGCCTTAGTCGATGCTAATAGCAGAAGTGTTTCCCACTTATCGGTTTTTGGAGAAGTTCTTTCTCACATAGTCTTGAGACTGAAAAGCACCATTTTTCGCGCATGTTCACTTACATGTTCCTGCAAATCGAGGAGGGCAATGCTCGGATAGTACAACAGATATTCATTTTTTTAAACTATGGCTCTTCTTGAAAGAAGATAAAACTCTTGTTTGTGTGAATATGATCCTTCATCCGAGGGTCTTTTGACGTGACATAAATGAGGGCATTCGAAATAGCACCTTATTTTTCCAATCTGAACAAATTGAATATTCTCGATTTCAATAGGCTCAATGTAACTCGTCTACCATCCGATCTCCAGCCTCAATTTATACAGTTATAACGCCTAGTAAAACAATAAAATTAACTTCCGATTGAGACAATATTCAGATTTTAGTAACCGAAGGCATCCCAATGTGTTGTATGGTAAAATAAGCTTAGAAACAAAGAGACTATAGCGGTTAAAAGAAGGGAGGGTGGAAAGGAGAGAAATGAGAACTCATTGCTCATTGAATTTAGGGCATATGAAAGAAAGGCTATTGGAAATTAATCCTTAACGCCCTTAGGACCGTACGGTCCTCTTTCAAAATAAGCTCCGTTTAGGTCTAGACCCGCTGATCATAATAATTTGAGGTCAAATGTCGAGTTATAGACTTTTACCGCATGAGTATACGTTTTCAAGGGTGCACCACGTGGAGGTAAGTCTATCTACAATGGATTCTTGGACAATGTAGCATTAAAGTCAATGAACTTGCTGACGCATTTGCTAAGAAGGGGACGATGATTTTGCAAGGCATAGACTGGGCGATGTCTTTCCACGCAATGAAGACCTTAATCAGGAGAGAATTCAAGACCTCAGGTGCAACGAACTTAGAGCTTAAACAAAGGAGAAACAGTGGACAGTGGCACACTCCGACATACCTGACTGGCCAAGAATCAAAAGTGCTGCTGAGTTTAGACTACGTTCCGGACACGATTGCTTGGCAAAACACCTTCACAGATTGGGAGTATACACTCAACCCACATGTCCTCTATGTAACCTACAGGATGAAATGGAGAAAACCCACCTGATTTAGTGCCCAGCCCTAAAGAAAACGACGGAAACCCAGAGATACTAGGAAGCCAGAAGACAACTATTGAGCTTCTATCAATTAACTACTATATATGCTCCCCCCTTGTGAAAGCCGAAGTCAACTAAGGGGGTAATGATAAATATCATAAAGCCTGCCATTTGAAATAATAATAAAAAAGTTCTAAACCCGCACAGAAGGCACTAGTGCCGTTTGAAACATGTTCAATATGTGTCTATAGCCGTCGCCTAATACCACCCACTGCTTTGAGTGTGGTTTGGCGGATTTGTCAAAAACCACTTCTAGCCTTAATGGGTTAAGGAAGCTCATCGGGGCTTTGTTGTAAGGCAAAGCTTATTTCCTTTTATCAGCATAGGTCGCATAGTTCAAACTGTCGCACGGGAAGTTGACGCTGTCATTCTTTAAATGTCTATGGGATTAGCATTTGGACAAATACACTACAAGTTCCACCGCTTTTCTTTGTCGAATTATACCGAATTTACCCTACTTATCTCCATTTAATTCTATTCAAATTCAGAGCTCAATTACCAATAATAACGGACTAAATGAAATGTTGTTTACCCTTGTAGCCGGTTGCCACACGATTAAGACTTGACTTGTCCCCAGTAAACCCCAAATGACCATATATGCTATTGGGGTAAGGCTCCCGAAATGAGGCAACCTATCTCGAGGGCATAGAAGAAGTAGACGTATAGCGAGTAAGGCGTTTTTTTGAAATTTATACCTACAGCAAGCACGATTCATAGTTGAAAAAAACTGTAACATAACTCGAAGGAGCATTAACAGTTGATTAGCTGAGAAGTCCCCACTCTCCAGAAAGTATGGGTACGCAGTTCAATTCTGTTAGAATTGCTTACTCCTCACCATTATCCACTTTAATCATTTTAAAGTACTCCATGGGGTGCATAAATAATTTTCAGCCTCTAATAGCGTGTATGCCTTTCCTCGAGGTAGAAATTTAACTGTATTTTTTTCCACGAACCCTTGGATTTAATTTATTACTTTTGACAATGACATTTAGAATCGATGAAATTGTCAACCAGGTATATTAATAATCCTCCAAGTGGTGCACCCTGGGCAACGTATATCATACGGCATAAAAGTCTATTAACTGGCAGTTGACTTCTCACTTCAAACTGCCATCACCCAACTTCAAACTGCCCACGTGGTGCACCCTGGGCAACGTATATTCATACGGCAAAAACGTGGTGCACCCTGGGCAACGCATACTCATACGGCAAAATAAGTCTAATGATCGGTGACTTCAAACTACTATGGCACGACTATTTGTCATATTCGGCCCCATCCACAGATTATACGGCAAAAAAGTCTATTGATCGCCAGTTGACTTCTCGAATTCAAACTACTATGGCCCGACTATTTGTCATATTCGACCCCTTCACAGTACTCATCTTACTACTAGTCTATTAACCGGCAGTTGACTTCTCACTTCAAACTACCCTCACCCCACTGTATGTCATATTGCACCACATCACCGTACTCACCTTACCTTTATTCTACCTTTGTGTCTGTCTACCTCTTTTACATCTGTAAATCACTCTTCTGTTTCGTCCCCCCCCTCTCGACTTTTTTACTTTGATGTTCCTCCTCCTCTCTGTGAAGCCCGAAGTCAGCTAAGGGGCTAATGATAACTATCAAAACGCCTGTCTTCTCAAATTTATCTAACTTTTGATTTCGAATTAAATTTTCCACTCGAAATTCCACATAAGCAGAATTGACATTCAAAATACTTCGAATTTCAAATGAATTTCATGCCACTCATTCACAGCTTCCTGCCTTCCAATCCAAAACAATACATTATATAAAAAAGCCATGCATCAAGAAATCATCAGTATTATAGCCTTATTAGACAAAGTAAGCAAAAGCCGAAATAATGGGAGGAGAAGGGGGAGGAATTTGACAGAAAGGTTTATATGGTGGGGGGGGGGGGGGGNGGGGGGAACCGAGCATCTTGAAATGATTGTACACAAGATTGGGGAGGGGAAATAGGGGACGAATAATGCGCCATGTGAAAACAGTATCATTCATTCATTTAAAGAAATAATGAGTTAGCACGGCCAATTATCTCTGTTAAAAGTAGCGAAGTTATAGCGTCTTTTAAGAAAAGTAGAGGGATGGGAAACGACCACAGAATTTGAAGACCCATTGAAGGATTTGAAATAAGAATAGAAGGAGATTTCAGTTTTAATTCTGGCAATCTTTTGTACACAAGGACGATTGTGAATAGCTGCGAGGTAATTCACTTGCTTTTATCTTCTCAAAATCCCGTCATATCGTCATATACACACATTAATATTCTAGGAATGGAAAAAGAACTTGTGACCCAAGTGATACTATTTTGTGTGTTAATCTAGTTGACTCAGGATTATGTACACAGAAATTTCTTTGATCTTGGCAATTTCAGGCTAGGCCACTTGAATAGTCACCGTTAAAAGTGGAGTTGGCAGTTCAGTCTCTTTGTAACGAAAGGTTAGCTGATGATTGCTGGGGTTGGATAAGGGTGCGTGCGAATGGGAGATCGAAAGGGTACCCTAAAATATGATTGATGAAAAGATGGCGTAATGATATGAGATGATGGCTTTAATGTCTGCCCACAGGAAAAAGAAGTGCATGATAGTCAAATAGAAAACACCATGAAAATGCCCTCCTACCTTAGCCATGAAAAAATGACTGGAACTGCCTAGTAGTGGGTTTGTGGCGTTTCCTGATGTTGCGCTGAGTCCAGTTTCGTACGGAAACACTGACTAGTACCTTCAGCCGGGGGATTCAGCAACATTGGTCTTCGAATTGCCCGTTGCTCTTTATTGCTCCTGTCTTTGTGATGGAAAGGTACCAAACTTCTGTACTTCTTTGAATGCTTTTTCAAACCCCAAGCACCTTCTAAAAGAGCGAAAAAAACTGATCGAAAAACTGATCAGAATAAACAGGCATATCAGTATAAAGGGAGGAAATTACCACCGGAAGCATCACTTTTCTCCTCCTCAGCAATTGCAGTTCGCCAGAAGTCTGCATCAGCGGAGGTCAGGGTTAATGTTCGGCGAGATTCACCAAGAGCCCATTCTGGTTCATCTAATGGTAAAGCATCATCATCTATGTATGGGACGTTGTATTCTTTATCGCTCTTCCATTGGCAACTGGGTAGTTTAGTTGGAGTGATAGAGTAGGGAAAGAGGTAGTCATCATTCAGGAAAGTGCAATTTCTCGGAGGAAAATCTAATGTGCTCCACGGACGTGGTTTTCTAAGCGGTGATCCCTCCGCATAGTGCGATTGGTAAGCACGAGCTAACCATTCTGTAATTTCATCATCTAAATGTCTTGGAATAGGAGGTGGAGGTGGTGTACATTGATCGACTTCAGAGATAGGGCTCACTGTCGCTTCTGTGTGGTGCCAGGTCTGACGTAATGGGTGTTCATTTGTTGCACTCTTACTTGGCTGGCGCATTCGAGGAGCTGATGTTTCATATTCAGTAGAAGAAGTGGGGATAACTCTATCAGATCTTTTATGCTTCTTTGAACGCTTCTTTAACTTAGACTTCTTTGGGAAGAGCCCTTTAGACTCATGAGAGCTCGGCGGTTCAAATTGAATTTGTGCAGTAGCAGTTTTCTGTTCAGCTAGAATTAATTCTACTTCTCTTGGAAGTGCAGGTTCAAGCCTTAAGGGAACTTCCGTTGTAGGGATAGCAACCGGGGCAATATCAGCCTGAATACCCAAATCTTCTTCTTCGGTTGTAGGCTTTCGTTGCTTGTGTTTCTGTTGCTTCGACTTTCT